GGGAAGCTGCAGTTTACGGGTGCAGCACTGTACAACTAAGTAGCTGCACTTCATTTAATGATCTCAGTTTTGAGATGAGCTGTATGCTTAGAGCAGGAATGAACCTGGTATCATAGCTAGTCCTAGCTTGGTGCTGAGTTGGAAGTGCTCTGTATATCTCTCAACAGTGTCTCTTAATGCTACTTTCACTGATACCTCTTTGTTGGCTGACTGGTCTTTGTATTTATGAAGATTGATGGGAGAAAAACAGGCACTGCTTTATTAAGCTGGGAAATGGAGATGCCTACCTCAAGTCTGTGACAAAAATAGAATAATTGAAATAGAGATTTTCATACAGATCTGTATAAAGACACTCTGAGACCAAAATGAAGCAGTAGTTGCTTTCCAGTGTTTGCATTCGAGCTCCAATTAAAATGATTTGCAGTGCTTTATGAACATGTGACTGCAGAACAGCACTGTTAAGATGACTATGTGCAGTGATAGTATGCTGCATTATCAGGCTGTTTGGAGCATTAACTTCATATCTTAAGCTTTACAGCCTTATTTAGTGTATCACAGCTATATGCAGTTCTCCAGATGTGCAGCAGCTTATAAGTACTACCTATGGGCAGTCTTTTCTTTGCTTAACTGAGTAACTTGTCCCTAATTAATACCTTTTTTTTTTTTTTTTAACCTCACTGCAGGAACTTCTTGTTTAAATTTTAGATAGAGATACCTGTGCAGTTTTTGTTTTAGTACAGTGTAAGATCTGATTGAAGTTATTTTAAATGTTGCCCTATTGACAGACTGTTCCAATACACAGCACTGCTGCAGGGTGGAATACCTGGGTAGGATTTGGAGTTCATTTGAGTTTTCCTCAGACACCAGAACTGTTGTAATCTATCTTTAAATTATTGCTGATATGCAGAGGCATTGTCTATTTGTTGTTAATGAGTTAGAAGAGTCATCTGAATGATATGAGATAAATTTGTATAGTAATTGCTGCTTTCAGACTTGCTTTCTAAGCTGTGGTGATGCATCTTTCTTCAGAAAACCTGTGGGCAAAGCTGGGCTGTGCTTAACAGGGATGATGGGAGCAGTGTGCTGAGTGTATGAGAAATAGTGATCTGTTTTAATCCCAGTACTGGGTGCTGCAGATCTGAGGATAGCCTTAAAATGCAGCATTGCCCAAGCCTAGCTAGTACTTGGTGCAGAGAATAGGGGGCTGAGCTTGCAGATTGCTCTTGTAGCTGGGTCCTACCACTCATTGTTGCATTACCCAACCACAGCAAGTTCTTATTCTGTAGAACTGCTTCAGGTGTATACACTTGAGAAAAATACTTACAGTCCTTTTATAGCAAATTGGCTCTTTAATAAATTTATTTCAGTGGAAGTTGAGATTTTCTGCATGCAGTGGAGAGCACAGTAAGACTTAAACTGTACATACGTGGTCTGTGTATAGCTCCTACTGGAAGACACTGGCCATCACAGCCACTCAAACTAATTATGTATTTCTGACTCTTGGTTGTAAGTAATGATGTATTTTGATTGAAACAACTGTAACAAGCTTGTAGCTTTCAGTGCGTCAAATAATGTATTTAATATTTTTTTGTCAAACTTTCAAGTATTGTGGTGTTTCTAATTCTTCCAATAGTGATCCAGTCTGTATAAATTCTTGTTTGGAGGGAATTCCTGGGGCATGGGAGTACCTTGCTTTTTCTCTGGTTCTTAAGTATTGTGTTTTCTAGATCTGTTTTTAGCTTCTCATCTGATGTCGTTAACTGAGTAATGACAAAACTGCTAATAGATTTCTTACAGATAAGAAAATGTCTGATTACTAAAAGGAGATCTCAGGCTAGGGTTTCAGCTCTAGTGCTCAGCCCCTGTGCTGCAGCAGGGTGTTTGGCTACACCAGCTCACCCCAAGGGAGGGTGGGGTGGACAGGATTGCAAAGTTTCCCTGCTTGCTTAGTGGTGTATGTAACCTTCTGACTGCTATAGTTGGCTTTACTTCTACAAATATCCTCCCCATCACATCAATACTTGGTACTCAGGTGTGAGGTCTTGCTGATAGCTGTCTTGTGGGAGGTGGGCTTGTACAGCTGATGCAAGGGAGATGGGATGGAGAGAGAGGTAGGGCGGTATAAATGGGAACTGTGAAATTGCTGCCCCATCCTGCTCTGCAAGACATCTCAGGCCAGATGAGGTCCTTGATCTGATAAAAACATGGCCTGGAAAATCTATAGCTGTGACTGAAGATAGGAGCATCCAGCAGTAAGTGGGGAGGGATGCAGGGGCTTCCTGAGAAGGGATTTGTCCTGAACACTTCATAATCTTTTTAGTATGAAAACCAATAACTGGAGACACTCCAAGAGGTAAGATTAGCACAGCCAAAAAAGCAGCACTTTTATTTTTAGCGTGCATATACTAAAATTCTTAGTAGCATTAAATATGCCACTTGAGATTAAGTGAACTTGTTTTTATAGTTGAACTACCAGTTGGAGCATTTACAGTCCATTGAAAGCTAATGGAATTTCAGTGCTTAAAGATTTTCTGGATAACCTCAGAACAGCTGAGCAGCTCTCACAGTTCATAGCTCAGTGAGATTGTTAATTAGTTTTGTGATCCAGGGAATTTCTGTGACTGCATTCTTGTAGGCGTATCGCAGAACCAAACACCCCAAAGCCTCTAATTCGCGTTCTGATAAATGAGGATCACTAAAATACTGTTGTGGAACTTTGTCCTTTCTGTGCTTGCTTTGGATGACATCACATTTAAGCCTTTTTAATAGGGTGAATACCCAGATTTTCCTTTAAAACTAGGTGTCTGAAGGGTTTAACAAAGCTCTTCTGTCAAGCTATTGGGTGAAGTGTTTCTAGAATCATTCTTTGAAATCCAAAGAATGGCTGCTTTCAGTGGTGGGGTAGCAATGAAAAGAAACGTCCAAGGATATCAGCTGCATTGCAGAACAAGGGCTGGTCTCAGCAACTCTGTACTTAGAGCTCTTTCCATTTTTTTTAAACCTCAAATTGAATTGGAAAAGCTAGAGGTGATTCTAATTAACACCTCAGTATGGCTCTAGAATTTCTTACCGTTATAACAGAATATGTCCTGGAAAGTAACAGGACTTATTGTGGCTTCTCATGTTTTTCCATCTATGTCTGTGTGCAGTAGTAAAGGGGGCTCCTTCCTTGTGATGAGTGCTGTTTCCTTTATGTGACTGCAACTGTGGGTGGAGTGTGTAACCTGGCTGAAACCATTCACCAGTCATCTGTGCATCAGGACATAGAGTAAACCAGTCCTGTGTGTTAATAGTGTTCAGGAGCAGGGTGACTGCTTAGGTTGAAGAGTGGAGTAGAAAAACTAGCAGTGCTATGTTTACATTTGGATTTCATGAAGCTGTAAATGAATGCTTGCTGTGAAGTACTCTGGTTTGCAGATGCCTGCTAAGAATGAAACAACACTCTGCAGGTTAGTCTATAGTAGGAGGCCTTAGTTAACCTGGAGGAATTGCGATCTGAACAGGTAAGGTGGGAAGGCTGAAATAGTTGTGTTTAGGGCTAAATTTTGAGGGTGGCACAGTTTGATTGTGAAAGCTTCTGGCAGGATTAGGGGTCTGTAGTGCAGGAGGGATCTTCAGAAGTCTAAATAAAATCAGCTTCTTAGTAACCATTGTGGCTTGATTTACAACTCTTGCTGTGTTTCATGTGGCCAGCCTGTCTGATAGAGCCTTCATTTGTTGGTCTAAAGATCCATTTCCAATAGTACCACAAAACTTCTGCTGTGTATATAGTTTTGTGTTGCCCATTATCAAAAACCCAGTTACTCAGTCCTTTTCTTTTGAAGCAGATGAAGCAGGTAATTGCTTCTAATTTCTGAAATGTAAAAGGCTGCCTGGAAAAGTCTGTCCTGGTATCTGTCTAGAACTTTCATCCACAGCGTGATGAAAAGTAGCCTGGAGAAACTCAAAAAGTGTTTCAAAAGGTTTTATTCTTACAGGTCATAGCATTTTCAGTTTTTTTTTTTGCTGTCCTTGCATCTCCTGTATAGCATTTGTGCCTGGAGCACACATCTTTTATTCTCCTCACTCTGGGGATCATGTCTGGTGACAACTTGGTTCATTTGCTTCATCTTTTGTTCCCTGTTTCCCAGCATGCTGTTCTTACAACTGCTGTTCTATGCTAATCAGAGTCTTGCATTGCTACATCCAGCTGCTGGTAAATGCTGGAGACCTCCTAAATGAACAGAATTCAACAAAAACAACTACTGCACTTAAGTACTTAGTTTGCATGACATGTAACAAAAGCTTGTTAAAAAGTGCCAATTATTGAACTCACTCTTTCTGGATTTGCAATATCAGGAGAAGAGCAGGTACTGAGTATTTCTTGCAGTAAAGCAGGATGTTTTCAAAAGCAAATTGTAGCATCAAAGGCTAGAATATCAAAATAAATGCTAATGCCATGTCATAAGACTTTCTGCTGGAAGCTTTTGCAATTTGTTCTTGCCAGAATTTACTATGAATCTCTACTTTTCTTATTAGCCTACATAGAGAAAAGATCAAAAGTCACTTTCATAAGCAGATCTAAGGTAGAGCTCTGTTAGTAGGTTGAAACTAAGCTGTATCAACTTTAAAGAAATATTTTAGAAAGGTGTAAAGCCTTACAGTAAGAGAGAAGAACACAACTTCCTCTTAGTGCGAGTGTAGTTTCCTTTAGAAACTTCTCTAGGTGGCAATCACGTGGGATGGGTTTACAAACAAAAGCAGCTTGTTTAGTTAGTATGTGGCTGTGAGAAGCCTTTGACCTTTCTATTATTCCTGACACAGGGAGGGCAGTTGTCCTAATACAAGATATTAGGGCAAATACTTCTGTTCTAGGCATGGGTCTAGACTTCATTTCCAGTGCATGGGGATGACCGGTTCTTCAAGCTTCCTGATAGGGTTTTAATCTGGTCTTTCCACAACAGTGAGATGCTTTACCTGCATGGTACCACTGTGCCACTGATGTTTTGTTTTTCTTTCAGCAGGTCTGATTGGTTGTCTGGTACTTCAGCGGTGGCAGACAGGACAATGGCTGCCAGCAAGGGCAAGAACCAGAGTTCCTTGGCACTCCATAAAGTAATCATGGTTGGTAGTGGAGGTGTAGGAAAATCTGCGCTCACTCTCCAGTTCATGTATGATGAGGTAAGTAGCTTTGGTTTAGCTTTTCTAAGTCTGAATGGGTACAGTAGTGTAGTACTGAATGGGTACAGTAGTTGTAGTGGGGGCAAAGGGACTGAATCTAAGTAGGAAAAGGTCTAGTGACTGGCCAAGAATAACAGAGGAATCTGAAGGGTGACCTGTAGGAGCACTTCTGGCCAAGAGTGGTGGGATTGATTCTTTCTAGTGAAAGATTCAAAATGTGCCAGTGATTGAGTGTGTGCAGAGCCTGTTAAAATTGAAATTCATTTGGTTGCCATTTGTTTTAGGCCAGGTAAGGTTGAAATCAGAAGTAAGCATTCTGTCTTGCTCTCAACCACATGGAGCAGTGTGCGTGCTTAGAGTTCTTCCATACTGGTGTATGGAAAGCTAGATCAGGCAGTCCAGATTAACATAATTGAACTCATGATCTGCTAATTTAGAAATTGGCCATTATTTGCAGGCTGTCCAAACATACTGCAGTGATGTATCTGAACAGGCCCCATTGTTGAGGGGAGATGGCCATAGGTACTGTTGTGGTACCTATGCTGAGATAATCACTGCATCAGCTGGCTTGAGTTTGGCGTAAGGAAATCAGTGGCAATACCAGCTTGAAAGTATGAACTTTCTGCTACACCTTCTCTAGTATGGCTCATAGAGAAACTCAGTCAACTTAATCAGGCTTATGGCACAACCTTCTGTTAGTTGTTAAGACTAAGGAGCCTATGCTGGGCGTGTACTGTCAGCATAGAATTACCAGTGGAATTGTCAGTGGCTTTGTGTGTTTGGTCAGTATTGAATGTGTTTAACTACATGCCCATATAATTATGGAGCAACTTGTTATGTTCAATGACTGGCTGCTGTCATCTGGGCTTGTTGAAACTATGGATAGTTGTGACTGAAGTACAATCAGAAATGCTTTGTTCTTGAGGTGGGAGATCTAGATAATGCAACCTGTTCGTGAGCTGGTAGCTTACACTATGTCTTTGTCCCTTAAATTGTGCTGAAATTGCTGAACAGTATTTTATTTAGGAAGACAGTTTCTCTTGAGTAGGCAGATTGGCTCTTTGATGTATTAAGTACTTAAATAGCTTGCTTTTTATAGAGAAAAAAAAAAAGTGGTGGAACTTAGTAACTGACTGAATTATGATGAGGCTTTCAGGAATTTAAGTGTCACTGAAGTGCAAGAGAATGGATATAGGCAAATAGTGAGGCCTTCTGACAATAATTGTAGGCACTAATTTCTATCTTCAGTTTGTAGAAGACTACGAACCTACCAAAGCTGACAGTTACAGAAAGAAAGTAGTTCTAGATGGTGAAGAAGTTCAAATAGACATTCTGGACACAGCCGGACAGGAGGATTATGCTGCAATCAGAGATAACTATTTCCGCAGTGGGGAAGGATTTCTTCTAGTCTTCTCAATAACAGAGCATGAATCCTTCACAGCTACTGCAGAATTTCGGTAAGCAGAATTTCGGTAAGCATTCTTCCCACAGGCAAGGGGATATGTTTGGTTTCTATTCTATTCTGACAGTTCTTCATAAAAGCTGTAGCTCTTTCTCCTTTATCCGTTACTGTTTGGTCCGTGAAAGTGACAATACAACCATTTTGTTCTTGGTAACTAAAATAACAGATTCTCGGACTCTTAGAATTTATGTATTCAAGCCAGTTTTCAGTCTTTGTGGATGTGGAGTTTATGTGAGAGCAGTAGTTCTGGAATTAAGTCTGCCTTTTGGCCAGGTTTCAGACACTGTTGCTTACTGCTAGAAGCAGGTGCTCTAAAGGAGGGAAGGATTAGCCTCCACACTCAGGTATGGATTGGTGCCAAGCGAGGGTTGGCAGCTGAGCAGCACTATTGTAGGCAGACACGTTCCTAGAAAGACACACAGTGGTGGTAATGCTTCTGTTTTCTGTTCTCAGGATTAGTAATTCTAATGTAAAAATCAGTTCCAAACTGAGCACAGAAACTACTTCTGTAGTGTAAAAGAGTTTTGACCAACTGTTCTGGTCCTAGAGCTTATGTATTCAGGTTCTTCAGGACAGATGTTTTGGCTTTTTTTTTTTTTTGCTAATAGCTGTTGCCTCAGTGTAGAAGACAATCCAGAGATTCCTTGAGAGTTCTGTCTGCTCTTTATCAGTCTGATTTGTTTTCACTTTGCTTTGTTGAAACAAGATTAACAGACAATCAGCACTTTAAATTTCTGCTTACCATGCAAGGCAGGCAGTTATTTCCAGGATATTATAATAGCTGTAACATTTCCTTCACATTCTAGGACTTCTGTCCAAGTTCTTAATTTATTTTACTATTCCAACAGTAATAGGGAACTGCATAGTTACTTAAGTGTTTGTCTTGTATGTGACAAAAGGGTGATAGTCACAGGGGACACAACAGGAGCTGTTTTGTTTGGTATGCTCTGTTTGGAGCGTTAAAGGAATGAAACAGCTGAAGTGGTGTTGGGCTGAAAGTGAGTCCAAAGACTTTTCATAATGGAAGATGGAAGGGAAAAGTCAATACCAATCAAGTAGGTACAAAACTAGATACTTCTAGGAGTACCAAGTCTGACTCTTGGCTTGGATGCTTGACTGAAATAAGGTTAAACCCAAGGCTTAAGGATTTAGATGAGAAGGTGTAGAGGTATATTTCTTGTTGATGTTTCTTATTAGGCTTCTGTAAGTGGATTAACAGTGTGTTGGTTGAATATTCCAGCACATCCAGAGGAATGAAAAAGCAATGCTAATCTTCAAGGTGAACAAAAAGGATGTGAAAGCCTTGAGATGGAGAATGTTTTTTCTGAATGGATCTGAATTGATCAAAATGGAAATAAGTTAAATGGGGTATTTAGTTGAGAGGAGATGTAAGAATTGGTGGTTTGAAAAAAAAAAAAAAACACTTTTTCAGGAAGAAGGGAAAATGGATAGCCTAAAAATAACTGCATACTGGTATGACACTTCCAGAATTCTAGATGGACAGCAGCATGTGTCAGTCTAGTTTCAACCTGTTTTATTCCAGTAATAGTACAGGCTTTGAGACTTGCATATAGCATTGTGCTCACAGTCTCCTTTCTCAGGTGCTGATAGGCCCTTCTTGAATGGGAAAAGGATAGCAAGGTTAATATCGATCAATTTTTTTTTTCTTAGAAGGCTTTGAAGGGGGAAGACTTGCTAGCCCTTCAGTGTAGTATTGAGCTAGTAAATAATGACTGATGTAGTCATTAAAAATAATCTTTGCCAGTTACTTCTCTGTTCTTAACCTACTACTTTGACAAAGTCTTGATGCTGCGTGGACCTGTACTGAGATGGCGTAAAGACTTGAAATTGAGGGTAGTAACTAAACACAAGGCTGAAATCTGGCAAACTTGTGCTTTTTTGCATTCAGATGTGAACTCCTATTAAGTTGTTCTTCTGCTGCATTACTTTTCTTCTAAAGCCAGGGTAGCAAAACTTCTGACTAAATGGTGAAATAGCCTTCCTGAAGATGTAGCTTTTACTTAGTGTGAAGCCCGTGGTGTTAAACTTAAAACCACTTCAGCTGTATTTGGCTGTTTGGGGACTGACTTAAGTAGTGTGCAGAATGCTAGTAGTGTGCAGACCACTTGATGTATTCATCTTAAGAGTGGGGTTTTTGTTAATATCACTAACGTGCTTATTTTTAATACCCAATGCATTAGGGAACAGATTCTGCGTGTGAAGGCTGAAGAAGATAAAATACCTTTACTGGTAGTAGGAAACAAATCTGACTTGGAAGAGCGCCGACAAGTGCCTGTAGAAGAGGCTAGAAGTAAGGCAGAAGAGTGGGGTGTGCAGTATGTAGAGACCTCTGCCAAAACTAGAGCAAATGTAGATAAGGTAAGACAAATAACCTGTTTTTACTACAGTTAAACTGGTACTGCTTGCTTAACAGCTGAGTGAATTCTTGACTCTTGCTGGAACAAAACCAAATCCATGTTTGGGCTTCCAAAAGCATAGATTATCAAAAGAAGTAACTTAATGGAATGTGTGTGCTGAAGTAAATACATAGCTTGGGCAAGTACAAGTTAACAGTGTTGTTTTAATTGTTTGTACCTGAACTAGCTTTTCAATGAAGCCTGTCAGCTATAGTTGAACTGTTTCCATCCTTCCTTGCAAAGTTGTGTAACGTGGTTGATGTTAAAAACTTGACTCTTGCATTCTTGTCAAGATTATTCTGAATTGACCAAGAACTCTTCTTGTGGTGTTCCTGTCCTGTTTCGATTTGCATGTGCTGGTCTAGGACAACCATTCTTAAAGTGTTTCTGCTGCTGCTTTGACTAAATATTGATGGGGTATTCCTAATGAGAAATAAATTCACCCAGCAGGAGAAATCAATGGTTTCAAATCTCCCCTTGTGTAGTTAAGCAGCTTATTGAAGAGAGTACCCTTTTACTTCCATATTCTTCAGAAGATGCCCCTAGGCTTAGTGTTGGTCCTTCTTAAGAGCTAAGGGATGTAGTTGAGTGAAATGTGCATTTGTTCTCAGATTACAAAGTGTAAGGTGCTTTTTTCCTTGGCCAAAGGATGTATGTAGCTTGTTAAGCTCTAAAGGCAAAGGTGTTACAGACAGTTTCTTGATCTTTTAGTCCATTAGCTCACTAACAGAGGTGTGATTGGTCCATAAGTTACCTAGTAGAAGCTTATTTATCATAGTGTTGATTTGAAGCAGTGTATGGAACTCTTGAGTTGGGACCTTTTCTTCATAGATGATATAGAATCCCAGAATTGCAGGGGTTGGAAGGGACATCAAGAGATCATTGAATCCAACCCCCTGCTAAAGCAGGATCCCTGCAATAGGCCACACAGGTGGGTGTCTACATGGGTCTTGAATGTTTCCATAGAAGGAGACTCTACATCCTATCTAGGCAGCCTGTTGCAGTCCTCTGTCACCCTTAACATAAAGATGTTCTTATGCATCTTTGTGTGGAACTTCCTGTGTTCAAACTTTAGGCCACTGCTCCTTGTCCTATGCTACACGCCACTTAAAAGAGGCTTGTTTCTAAGTATCTCAGATCTGCATAGTTCCCTGTTTTCCCTCATACAGTTATGCTTCTTAAACAAAGTTGTCTTATAGTATTGATTTTTTTTTTTTTTTTTTTTTTTCCTAGTAACTCTGTGAAACAGCTATTCCATCTGATGGTGTCTAGGACCTGTGTGGATCGAGTTATTAGTATTTTTGTGTGAAGGCATCAGAATAATGACTTTCTGAGAATCTTCTATGCAGCAGGACTTCCTGTACCTGATACTGCTACTCTGAATGCTGCAGCTCTTTTTAATTATAAAACAGACAGAATATTATGCAGCAGGATATGTGCTTGTAACCACATGGGAAGGACCAAACTAAATATTTTAGTTAATGAGAGTTATTTGCTGGGAGATGCTTGCTAAGCACAGAGAAATATTATCTTGAGTTCTGAATGCTACTTTTGTGCAAGAGCAATATTCAACAAAAAGCTCTTGAAACAGAGCCGCTGAATGACTTAAGTTATGATAGAGTCATGGAATAGTCTTGCTTCTTGCCACTGCTTTAGGTACCATAATTCTAATCTTGAGTTTGTTGCTGGGGTATGTGTCCAGATTTTATTCTGCTGCTAGGTACTTTGTTGTGCTACATCACTTATGTGCCCAATACAGTAGTCTGTATCTGTTTTCAGGTGCCAGAACTTGTTTAATCTTTTTGTTTTTCCCCTCTAGGTATTCTTTGATTTAATGAGAGAAATCAGAGCAAAGAAAATGTCTGAAAACAAAGACAAGAATGGCAAGAAGAGTGGAAAGAACAAGAAAAGCTTTAAAGAAAGATGTTGCTTACTGTGATGCTTGGAGACTGTGTATATCTATCTACAAATGCCATGGATAAGATACCACTAAGGATATAGGGCTGGATTCATGAAAGGAAGTCTGTATTGACTCCCTTATCTTTTGCTTTGCATATCATACCTTCAAAATGTGAAAACAACTTTGAAACCATTTCTGGTATCCAACAAAACCTATGCCTACTTAAACTGAATTATCTCTGTCTTCCCAGTGTCTTTCAAAACTAGAAACTATAGAATGATTGTAGTTCTGAAACCTCAATTTGGTTATATGAAGTTCTTTTATATTAACTTCCTGGTTTAATGTTTCAGAATATGTTTCTTGAACCTCTCCTGGCCTTAACAAGCACAGCTGTTCAGGTTCAAACAGTTTTTTCACTGTTGCTCTTATTAATGTTGCAAACTGCAGAAAAGCTGGATGACAACTAGTCAGAGTTTCTCTGTCTTCTGTTAGTGGTTACTGAGTTGTTAGATTGAAATTTGCTGGTTTCCTTCTTACGCTCCACGTAAATAGCAACTGACACTTGAGTCAACTTGAAAAAAACTTCCTTCCATGTTCTGTTCAGTCAATATGGCATTCATGAATCAAGCCTCAATTTGGACTTATTTAGGTAATACAGAAAAGATACTTAAATATTGGCATTCCCTGATGTTCTGTCTTCTCATCCTTAAATTAGAGTTATGGGATGAGAAAATGCCTAAGCTTTTCATCAGAAGGAATAGTTGCCACAGTCTCCTAGAAGTGCTGTCCTGGATTTCTTCCATGTATTGTGGCTATTATGCTCATTCTGCATTGGTCATTCATCCCCTTCCTGGTACTGGAACAGTGAAAATCAGTGTTCATCAGTTCTGTTTATATTGGAGAATGTGTAATATGTTGGAAAAGTGGGAACATCTGCATCCATTTCCTGCTGAAAATGAAAGCTGAGTAAGGATGGCTCACATCACAATCATGTCTTGGGATAGGTGAGGCGTACACGCTACCTCTCTAGTTAATTGGCTAGTGAGTCTTGTTTGCAAGAAGTGAATGAAGTTAAGCAGTTGCCATGTCTGTTACTCACTGTTAATTTTATATGTACTGTTTCTGATGCATAGCAACCTAGCACATGGAGATGCATGTTGAGTTTTGCTGTCAGTTATGCAATGGTGGTCATGTTTTAAGCAACAAAAACCAGCCTAGAAATGGAAGAGAAGTCAGTACTCAGCAGGTCTTGTCAGCTCACTGAACTGTTTTCTGATGCAGTTTAAACTAAGTGTGGTTGCCAAAAAAAAAATACTTCTGTTGCTGTTGTAGAATGTAACTGTCTCTTCTGTTTGTGGAGTCTCTCAATGAATTATGGATATTTCAAAGGAGTAGACAGACTTGAAGTAGTGACTGTACCTTGCTTTTTAACCAGATGCTTAAAGCACTATTGGTGGGATGATGATGATGCTATGTGGTTGTTCAGTGAAGCGCACTGCAGCACTAAATTAACAAATACTGTTTCTTGAGGTGAAGGAGTAGCAAATACTGTTCAGTACTTAGTATTGTGATTTGAGGATGAAAAACATTTTTAACGTGTACTAGATTGCTCTTGTGCATTCCACCTCTGAACTTCGGGGAGAAAAAAACGTTAGATATCAGAACCTCTGTTGGTCTGAGGTTTTACAGGGATTTATCACGCTCATTGTCTTCCATAACTAGTTTAACTTGTCAGGCAACTCATTGGACTGGGGAAACTGTACTAAATAAAAGGTGCTGTAATCTTCATTCATGTCAAGTTTAGTTCATTTTCTGTTAATGTTCTGAAAGTCTGGAAATAATCCTTTGAATAATTAATTGGTATAACAAAGCCAACTGAGGGTAGCTTTTGAGGCAGAGGCTGGGAGCCTGATGGCTTATAGAACTGCTTGAACTGTACCACCTGTGTCTGAAGCCTAAACACCCAGTGGGACGCTTAAAGCTGTCAAAGCTTCTAACAAGACTTCCTCTTGAACTTAGATTCCATTTTTGTGTGTATGCTGTATCTACAGCACATGAATGTCCACTTCTGGAGGCAGACCACTCACTTAGGTTTGGCTTTAGTTGAGACCTAAAGGTTAAGTCCTTAATTAACCTAAAGGATAAACAATGGCTGAGTTCACATTACAAGCTTACCTAGGTCAAGCCCCTCTGAGGCGGATTGTAAAATGTGAGTAACAAAACTGAATAAGCTTTCCTTGCTATATGAATAGTGAACTCAGCGCAGCTAACAGTGAGTGCCTCAACTGTTAACTCAAGTGACTTTCGTGCTTTGACCTTTGACCTCTCTAATCATAACATACGTGACGGTATTTGGGTAGGACAGATGAACTTCTGTTCAGAACAGTCACTCTCCCACTGGTGTTTTTACTTTGTGTGCTGGTTTCAATCAGATCACTTTGTCTCAACAGATAAAGCCCTAGTGCTGAGGTGGACTTGCTTGGAAGAAGCTGCTTGCTGTTTCATGGCTTGGTACTGCATTTCTTCGGTGCTCTGGTCTTGTCATTCTTACCAGAAGTGCTAGGCCTAACGGCTAAATTCAGCAGCTCTTCAGTATCCTTTTCTGTGCTTCTGAAAAGCTTCAATTTAACTTTCCAGATACAGCTGAAAACATGGTAAACAGGGTGGCTACTCTGACTGCTTTGTAACAGCAGGCAACAAGCTTTGACTTGCACCAGGAAGTCAATGAAAACTGTTCCCCTGAACTGCAGTCCTGCTGTCTCCACCTTGTATGGTGGATGTGCCGGAATGCATGTTCTTATAAAAGTGCATTGCCCTAGTGTGGGTTCCTGAATTAATTCCAGGTGTGTTTCAGTGGACATCAGTTATGAGGTCGGTTGACTGGGATGAATGTGGAGTGGCAAAGAAATGCTTCCTTTGGATTTGGGGGTTTCCTGTGAACAGAACAAAGGTATCTTTTGGCTTCTAATCTAAACAAATATTTACAGATCAGGTATATGGAACAAGGAGGTCTTCAGGAAAAGCTCTGTGTGTATAGCTGCCTGCTAGCCTTGCTGCCTAGCTGAGGCAATTTAAGGCACTGAAGCTGATACATTCTAGTAGCCTTTGCATGTTAGGTAATTAAAAGCTAAGTTTTCACTTCATCGGTGTAATCTGCCTTGAATCTTCCTTGAAATTGGCTGTAGGCAAGTAACTGGATATTTGAGGCTGGAGGTCATGCAAGACTTGCTTGCCTAAATGCAAGCACACAGCCAAGTGTTTTTCTTGCATAATGGCTTGACATAAAGTCAGGGCACTGTTTACTGCGGTGTGTAATCTCTTGTATTTGGTGTAGCTGTGGGTATTGAAGTGTTCCAGTCTTCAGATATGGGTAAGCGTGTATGAGACAAGCCTCCCATTCAAACAGAGGCTAAGTCACTATGAAGTGCAACTTCAAAAAGCAGGTTAAACTCAGGAATGTGAAAGCTGAGTTTTCCTGACTAGAAAGGCTGTCTCTAGATGAGAGTACACACCATGAAGAACATCCACAGTGACATCATACCATGTGTTATATACTGACCAAAACTCCTTTACTGCAATTTCTTGGCAAACCTTTGGCTTGGTGAAAAAAGATGTACACACATTTTCTGGGTATTAAACTTTAGCAAGACTTTAGTACCTACCCAAAGTCCCTGTTGAAAACTATCTGGCTAATACTTTAGGTCTAAGGCACGAAGCTGCTGCTTGGAATGCAGTGGGGGAGGAATTAAGTAAATGCTCACCATGAATATTTTTTTTAAACTTTCCAAAGTGTTAAACCTGTGCTTGAGGCTGACAGGTCTATCAATTCTTCTTCAAAAAGATGATGCCGTTCATCAATTCATCTCACTTTAAGCAAAGCTTATGTAGACAGAAGCTTCTCTTTAATTGCTATAAGCATATGTTGCTATATTCACCTCCTGTTAACTTTATAGATGGGAGAATGAAGGAAGAACAACAGAAAAAACTGATTTTCACTGTGGTCTCCACACTTCATAGGAATGGCAGGTGTTCCTCTTAGGAGGGGAAGGTGTTATCTCTAACACCAAGAGAGAGGTTTAGCAAAGAGGAAGTGATTGTGATGGCAAGATTTAATAAGACTGCTTTGAAATCATGTGCGTTGCCAACTTTTTTCTTACATAGCTTCAAAGCTTTGTCTCTAATGTGCACAAACATTTCTAATGTTTATAAAAGAGATCACTCCATTATTGTGCTAATACAATGATTTTTATTACCATTGATAATAAAAAGAAAAACAGGCGCCACATTTGTCTGTTATTGATTTTTACAGTATTTGTAAGTCTGATTCCTAAATTCTTGAACCAAACAACCACTGATTTTTCAGTTTCTGGAACTAGTGTTTTTTGAATCAGAGTTGCAGCATGGCTGTATTACAGGCTGTGAGGAAGGAGGGAAGGAAGAAGTGACTGAAGATTCTCACGTAAGCGTTGGTGAAATAGCTTATGTATGTTTCAGAACTCAGCTGCTGCAATGGTTTGTTCACTTCCATAGCTCCCTTTCTGCAACCTGACTAGATCAGACAGCTTGCATCAACTGTCTAAACAGTTTTTTCACCTTACTTGATTGATCTTGATGAGCAAATAACAAAATAAGCAGTGTTGTGCAGAAGAGCTGGTGCCAAGTCTGAGTGTGAAGCTATTGTGTTGGTTTGTAATGAACAAACTTAAGCTGAGATGCCTTGTAGACAGGATGGTCTGGGCCATACTCACTGTGCTGTCATGCCACTTAATGCTGAAAGGGTTTTACAGTAAATCTGCTGATGAGTGCACTCTCTGACATGGCTTTATAAGTTGGAAGTAGAACATTCGTTTGACTTCTGGACAAGGATTACAGCTGTTTACATAATCTTGCTAATATGGTGCTTGTGTAGTGTTTGCCCTGTGTTTTGGATTGATGTGGTTTTATGTAGCTCTCCTTTCCAATTAACTCTGTTTTTAAAATACTTTTCAGCAGAGAAGGGGGTAACATGAAGAATCATAGGAGGCAGGATGCTGCTGCCTCGCTGTGCCCTAAGCCCAGAACAAGCCCTGTCAGGTTGGCGCTCAAGGTGCTCATAAGAAGGTGGCCTTCCTCAAGTTAAAGCAGTGTGAAACTGGTGAGTGTCTGCACATACGTAAGCACAAAGGTTGAAGGCAGGCTGCCTGTGCTCTGCCTTAACACTTATCTGGTGTGGTTTCTTCTGTGTGCTAAGCGCTCCACCTGCTCGGGTGGCACAGGCAACCTCTTCCTGAGAACTGTTGGCTCCATCTTGTGGCTTTCAGAGTTAGCAGCTCTACCATGGAGAGGGCTGTTCAGTATGCTCAGATGAGTGTATATGTAGCTGTTATTTATCTGCTACAGAATTATATGTAGAAATCCCTGTGAACTAGAATCTTCTCTTTGCTCTGCTATTATTTTCTTGAACAGTAGGAGGCCTTGCTCTACGTTAAAGCTTTCCTTTTGTATGCCAATGGAAGAGCCAACTCTTGTCTAAGTGTTCTAGTGTGCAACAGAACATCCAGTTTCTTGAAAGGACAGTAGCTTTGTGATTTCAATAGCATTAAGCTTGTTTGCACTGCCAGTGTTAGTATGTTCTGCTCACGGAGTAGTAATTTGTATGCCAGAGAATAGTTGTTGTTCCAGAGGACTGTGCAGTACTTGACAAAACTCTTTGTGTCTGTGGTCAAGGGAAGATGGTATTTCTTTCTTCTCGGTATAAAGCCTCAGTTTTGGAGGCGGGAATATCAGGATGAAAATACTTATTCTCATGTTCCCCAGTTTCCCTTCCCAACTGCAAACTCAGTGTCTGCTGTGGGAATGGGTTCTAAGGGGGCGATACTGGCAGCTCCCTAAGCCTTGTGATTCCTAAGGGGCTGGAGATAAGATGCAGAGGTATGACTGAGACCATGTGCTTTGCAGTTGCCTTCCAGATAAGGTTGATTAATTTTCAGAGTTTACAGCAAGTTACCTTCAATGAGCTTTGTTATTTGGCTTTGAGGCAGGATCGTGTTTTTGATATAATCAGGGTTTATAGGATTTGTTTTTTAAGGTCTAGTGTTCAGGATATCAGAGGCTTTATGCATGCTGGCTTCATAGGCCAAATACTCAAATTTAAGGACAAACTTGTATGTACATGCAGCACGGAGAGACAAGGAAAGTAACTCCCTACTGCTTAATAATGCTGTTTTTTATTTGAAAGGAAAACATATACAATAAACTGAACTTGCTGTTTAGATGAGCATTTCTCAACCTGTGGTCTCGGAGTGCTCTGTAACATGATTACCCATCCCACAAAATGATGCCATTACACTGCTATACATGTAAACAAGGAAAACAACTATGGACCGGGGGAAGGAGTAATTATCTTTAAAAATAACCAAATTCTTGCTTCTAAATGAAAACCATCATTGCAACACTGCCGAAGACAGCCTGCACTTTCACTTCCAGGTGTTTGGCTCTTCAGTTCTAGCAGCATTGAAGAAAACCTGAGATAAATGATTTAAGTCAGATGTAAATGTGACAAAAGGATCCTTGTGCAGAATGGAGGCATTCTGAAGTTTAAACTTTGCTTCCTGCTGGGAGGTGGAGTTACAAAAACCAAGACCTGCTCCGTTGCTGAACAGATGCCTGCAGGGTGGAGTAAGTGGTTTTAAATCTAGCAATTCTAGCTACCACCCTAGGCAGGGCTGTGGGGGAGAACCTATTCCTTTCCCGAGCCCCAAATTTTATTTCTTTATAGAGATGCTTATTTTTTTGTCCATGGAAGTTAA